TCAAGAATTTACTAGACTGTTTTAGAAGGGAGTTGTATATGGGGATAATTTTAGTTCTTTCTTATTTTTTGGTTCAAACAGCATTCTGTTTTCCTATTTCAATATAGCTCTAATTTACTTTTTACAAACAATTCAATGATTTCACAGGCTCTTGAGAGGACCACAGAGTCTTGCCACATAGGTGCTATAGACTCTATGTGCTCATAGGTTTCTCCTCTCTTCTTCTGGCACCACAGCCTTGAAGGCATCTAGTTCCTTAAAAAGACCACATTCTCACTTGGAGTCATGAAGCTTCAGGCATGTTGCTTTTTATGCCTTAAACAGTCTCCCTGCCTTCTGTCTAACTTATGTCTAATGCATTCTTGAAGGGATAGTCCTCAACAGAGGACTGGGTGATAAGGCCTTACCCAGAGACACATTCCCTGACCCCTCAAACCATCTGCTGTGTCCTCCTATGGAATATCTCCCTTCCTCCCTCCTAGCTCCTGTTAGAATTTGGAACAACACAAGTTTTCACATAATTGCTTATTATCTATCTCATCTATATATATCTCATCTATATATAAAGTTTGCAGGGGCAAGGGCTGTATTCTGTTTTTATTTGGTGCATTTTATGTAGTTCAAGAATTGTTTAACGTTTGGCACACATTAAAAACTCAGTATTTGATAATTTAAAGAATGAAGCAAACCTTGCAATGCTTTTGTTAGTTAAGTAGTAACTTTCATGTGCTCTTTATACTTTGTTTTTTTATTTCTTTTTCATACTTATCTGAAGGGACTTTATTTTTAGCATTGAATTTTAATGTTTATATTGCTTAAGAGGGGTATGCTATACATCCTCTTCCCATATTGCTTAACGTAAAAAATAAAGTTTATATCAAAAACTTGACAGGATTTTTAAACTATTTTGCAATGGGATCAAAAGTAAGACTTAGAGTATCAGCATGAACTTGTTTTTTTAAGCCGTATTTATTGAGAACCTAAAGATTCCTGTCCCTCAGTGCTAAGTTACCACCCACTGTCAAATCATGGAAATGAGTGCCAGGTGTCATTTTCAGGCCTCTGGCTGAATAACCATGAGCTGTCTTCTGACCAGGTGTGAGTCAGAAGCACAACCCCAGAACATTAGCCTGCACTGTATAATCAGAATTTTATGGCATGCTATGAGGTCCAATTGGTTCAAAGGATATTTCTCTGTGAGGTTATAAAACTTTTCTGCAGTCTCTCACCAAATTTCACAATTATTCAATATGAGACTATTCTAGTTACAAAACAGCCCAGGACACATGTAGGACTGTCAAAAGTTACAGGAGTTCTCTTCCTTGCAGCATAATGAAGATTTTACAGTGTTTTAATTCTGCTCCTTTAGGTCAACTTTGAAACAAGCATCCTGTGTCCTAAGGACCCGGGGATAAAGGCAGAATCCGGGACATAAACCTCCTCCCACAGAGAATGGCTTTTCATCAGGGACACAGCTCCCTGATCTTCCTGTGATTTATATGCCTACGATGTTGCTGCAAGGCTCTCAGTGAGGGCCTGAGCCTATCTTCCTCCTGAGGAGGACTACATCCCACTCTGCAGGACATATGGTGCACAGCTCCTAAAAGATTAAGGGGAACTTTAGCCTTTCTTATGTCCTCTAACCATGGACGATAAAGGTGCTAAAAAGAGCACCTTCCCTGAACTTTGAAGTAGCCCTGACTACAAAAGTCTGAGAAGACTCAAGAGTGAACGGCAGTCTCCCCAAGTATAGCTCAGCAGGTGTATGCCTATCGTGTGGTCATAAAAAAGACTTCAGAACCCTTCAAACTAACGCAGAGTTCAGGAACCCCAAGAAGCCTCCTGCATATTTATATTTATTTTGTAAATTAACAAGATCAAGAACATCTCCCGAGTCTGCAAAGTGGTCAACAAAGGACTGCTGATGGAAAGCCTACCCTAGGCAGAGAGCACAGATGTACATGTCCAGCTGCCCATGCCTTCCAAGATGCTCAGCCATTTTTTAAAAAAAAATTTTAAAATTTTTTATTTTCATTCTTTTGATACAGGGTCTCACTATATAATTCAGACTCATAGTGATCTTCCTCTCTCAGCCTTCACAGCTCTGTATTATAGGCATGTGCCACCATGCCTAGTTTTGGGGCCGGGAACCTGGGGCTGGCATAGAATGCAGTACCAGGGATCAAACTTGGGACCTTGCACTAGCAGGCAGGTATTTACACTACCAAGCTATCTCCCCCACCCCAGCCATACTTTCGTATCCCTTGCCAGATCCTTTATCTGCTCCCACAGCTACTGCTCTCCCCAGTCCCTTCCCTCTGTCCCACTCTCTCAGCAGGTCACTCATTCCACATTTCATGAACTCAAGGAATCCACAACCAATGCACTTCATCTCCCAGCCGTACCCCTCCACACATCCCCATCTATGCCTGTGCCCATCCTTGCTGCTTTGCCCTGCTGGAGAAGCACACATGGCCCTTTGTCAAGTTCAATTACTGCTTTGGCCTTGCGTTCACCTCTCTGGGCCCTTCCTCACTCACATTTTCCATTCTCCTTGCCTGGCTCCTCTCCCATGGGGTGTATGAGTTTCCTCCCCACTAATCCCATTTTCATGTGGCCCGCTCCTTGAGAGAACAATTCTCACTTTCTCTTCTGTTACCTCACTTCTGTTTACTCTGAATTCTTCCTAATCATAGTCTTGCTTGGCCTCTCTCTGGGGGTTTCCATCCTGTAACCACTCTCCTTCCAGGGGCTTTCCTGTCAGTTCACACAGGTCTCCTACTGCTTGACTCCCTTGTGTCTTCTGCTGCTTCACACTTGCATGCTGGAATTTACTCACGGTACACCAGGGACATGTGACCTCCTTCTACCATCTCTGTAACCTTAACTTCTCATTCAATTCAGTCATCCAGTCCATCATTTATGCAGGTGATATTTATAATATTTTACCATATTGACAGATATCTGCTACATGCTGAGGATGAATAAGGCATATATGTAGCCAACATGAGGCTTTAAAATAGTTAAGTCCAATTAAAGGCTACCAATGTTACATAAGCACACAGGGATCCAGAGTGAAAGGGAAAAGATGGTAAAGGGGCTTTAACCAAATCTTGAAAGTCAGTGATAAAGCTGTCAAGCGCACAGTGGTGGGTACAATTTTTCTAAAATTTAAATTTTATTTATTTATTTATTTTTATTAATTTCATTGAGAAAGATAGCAATGAGACAGTTTAAAAACTAATAGGACAGTTTCAATAATTAATACATTGCCTATTGTTGTCTTCATAGTAGTTATTCATAGTACAAGATGCAGTCTGTATTATATAATACAACGTGTCAAAATTTGGAAGTGTGTCAAAACTTGCATAACTTAAGAGACTAATATTTTTTAAAAACACAGTGCTAGCAAACCTTGGAGGGGTGAAATGTCTATTCAAAATACATTTTTGTATAACATAGTATGAAAACTGTAAATGTGGTTGTAGATTCCATATCAAGATTTAAGAAACCATGAATATCAATGTTAGGTATTTTCAAAAGAAAATACATACTATTATCTGAAAAACTATTAAAATACTCAAAGAAAGAAAGAAAGAAAGAAAGAAAGAAAGAAAGAAAGAAAGAAAAATGCCCCCAGGGGTTAGGAAACAGAGGAATCAAGAAATTCCAAGAATAGTGCATGTAGCATTGTGCTTCAGCTCTGAGCTTCAGAGCCAGGAGATCTGGACAGAAGCCCAGGCCCACCTCTTTTCTCTTTTAATGCATGGGAATGAGGATGTGCTACTTTTGGAAGTTTCGTTTTCCACTTGTATAACAATCCCTAACGTGCACAGCTGTTGCAAAACTTAGGTAAGAGTCAAAGTGTTTAGCATAATGCCTGGCACAGAGTGATTATTAAGTAATAACTATTACTAAAATATATTTATGAGTATAATATGTACCTTATAGCCACTGTAATGGAACCCACTTCATAACCTTGTTGTGAAGATTAAATGAACCTAAAAACTCTATGTGAAAAAACTCTAAAGAAAAGAGCAAGGGCCGGGGAGATGGCTCAGTGGAATAAGCGCTTCCCTGGCAAGTGCAAGGGCCTGAGTTCAATCCCTGGTTCTTAAAAAAAAAAAAAAAAAAAAAAAAAGAAAAGAGCAGCGCATTATTATTCCACCATAAAAAAGGATGAAGTGCTGATACATGCTACAACACAAAGGAGCCCTCATGATAATGATAATGGAAATAAAGCAGATAGAAAAGGACAAACACTTTGTGATTTCCTTTACCTTAGGTACACACGGTAGGCAAATTCATAGACACATAAAGCAGATTCAAGATTACTAGGGTTTTGTGAAAGGGAGAAAACAGAGTTATTGCTGAACAGGTACAGAGTTTTGATTCAGAACAGGAAAGGTTTCAGAAATAGTGGTGATGGTTTACAAATTATAAATGTCTTTAGTGCCTCCCAAATTGTGTACTTACAAATGGTAGACTCTAAGTACAGAAGAAAGAAATTTCAGGTTCATATGCCATTTTCATCAAAATTAATACCACTGATATTCAGAGTAGGGCAGAAATAAATCAGGACATTTTATCTACTTAGTATGTTTGTAGGGTTTTATGGATTACCAATACAAACATATGTTTTTAAAATTGGTAAACTTTTAAAAGAAGGAATTAATATAGGGTCAGTATTATAATCACCTAAAATCTAGACAGCTGAACTGCCTTTTAAAACCAGACAATTTTATTTCACTGTTACCTGTATTTGATCCAAGATGGCTTGATTTAACCAAGATCCCCTCCTGTTAATCGGTTTATAGTGTATTTCAGAGATATATAATTATTTTTAAGAATTCACAGCCTGATGCAGATGTAAAAAATGGACAAGTGCCCTCACAGAGATAAGTTCAGCATCTAGAAAACTATGTTTAAAATGACCCACCAAGGCCTTGGCAACAGGCACTTTCCTGTGGGCCTGGGCAGAAACACACTGGCTCACTAACCTGTGTTCCCTGACTGTTGATGTCGATGGCATCACTCCACTCAGTGGTTACTGCATCCAGCAGGTCCACTCGCAAAAAGAGACTAGGAAGTAAGTCTTTGGTCTTGCAGTCTGGGTAACTGGAAATCTGATGATACAGCTCATGATGAACTGAGCTCTCAGAAGGAATTTTTCTGCAATAAACCTCAAATTTTGGAATTTCTGAAAAGAAAAGTTTATGCATACTTAGGCCTTAAAGAGGACTTAGATATATTAAATATAATGTGGGAAATAAATTTCTCAAGAATATTTAGAAATACTTTTATTTAAGCATTCTGGATCACAGGTATCTACTAAATAAAAATCTCAAGAAACAATAAAAGCTGTTATTTAAATTCAGTGCTACAACACATACCTTTAATATTTTCCTTTACAAGCACTGCCACTGGACATCTGTTGTGCACAATTAGTCGAGGACTGGGGTCTTCTGAGAGTGTTAAGTAAGTCACTCCCAAGTACTCTTGATACGTCAGTGCTAGAGCCCTAGATCACAATAAAACCAAACAGAAATGGTTCAGACAAAATGCATGCTTTCTCTCTTGGTTCATGTTTACCCAGATTTGCAGTGTTCTGAATTCTAAAATGTCTTCTTTTTTGTAACTCAAGGGAGATATTTTCCAGAGAAGAAAGCCATGCCCTCTTTTATTACTTATCATATATAAATTGCAGATTTTTTCTGTTTCTCTCTCTCTGTGTCTGTCTGTCTCCCTGTCCTTGTCTGTGTCACGCTCCGCCCCTTGAGACAGTCTTTTTGTGTAGCTCTGACTGGCCTTGAACTCTCTGTGTACTAAACTTCTAAAGGCTAAAAAATTCACGATCATGGCAATAAGGTGCCTTTCATTAGGTCACAATATGTTTTCTTTTGTACTTGTTACATGTACCATAAACAAGTTATTTTTGATATATGCAGAAAGGATGTACTGCATACAAAGTGACCACAAAATAGAGGTCCAGTTTGAATAAACCACTACATTTCTCTGGCTTGATTCTGTGGTTATTATTTGAATAATTGGTAATCAGTAAGTGGGACAACTTACGTGTGGGAGTGATCACAGAACAATCTTTTGTGGCTTGTGTCTAAGTTATCTTTTCAAATTTTTTTTTTTCAAAACATTTCATTTTGAAGTAAAGTACTGGCAAAGAATAAGTGTTTCCAGCTTGATATTCTCATATGCTAGCTTTTGTCTCATTATTTTGCAGAGATTAAGAATTAAAAGGTGATTTTTAAAAAATTATGATATATAGTAAGTCCCTGACTAATGAATGAGTTCTGCTCTAGGAGAACATTAAGTTGGATTTGTTCATAAATCTGCCAAAGCGAGTCTTAGACACCTTTGATACAAATATACAATGTATATTGTTTTGGCTTCCTAGAAGTCCCCTCCACACCATCCCAGGTGCTTTCTCCTGCTTCCACACATCCTGGGCTCTCACTGTGCACTGCACTACTGCACACTATCACAGTGTGCAGGAAGTACACAGCTGCACAACTGTCACAGTGTCCAGCAGACATGTGAGCTCCTTCATGATTTGTTCACATCTACAAATGGCCAGAATTCAAGGCCTGTTCATTTCCATGAAAGTTCCCAACTCACATGTTCATAAGTTGGGAACTTACTGTATTGCTGCCATACTCTGGTAGCAGCAGCATCTTCCCCTAGTATGTGCCATGTAGGTTAAAAAAATCTCATTAGCAGCACAATGGGACAACACATATGCAGTCACATCTGATAAAACAATATAATGCCTGAAAGTCATTAAAGGTAAAAAAGTTCAATCTAGAATAGCACACGGGGAATCCTATAACTATTCTTCTGTCTGTCCGAGTATCTCCATGAACGGGGACACTGATGAGCAGACAAGGGCATTTACATATAGATAAAATACCTGGTGCAGAATCCATTTTCCCTAAAGTTCCCAAAGGGCACTGCCACGCTCTGTCTGGGAAACTCTTGTCTCACTATAGCTGGTAGGCTCCAGCACTGTGAGCTGTCAGCACCTGCAGCAGGAGAAAATGCCAGCAAGATCTGCTTCTGAAGCAGTGATGCATCCAACACAGATGGCCCGATGTCAGGCATTAAGTCCCAGCAAGGAAGGGAGCTGGATTTCACAGCAGACTGCTCTTTCCCTGGGCAAATGCTGAAAGTAGAACTGTCTGGAACATGAAAATCCTGAAAAACAAGATAATGAAAAGAGAGCACATTTACTACATCAATGCACTGAAGTTATCTATTTAAAGGAAGTTATGTATTTAAAGGACATGAAGTCTTGGAACACGGTCTACTTGAAGATGCAGGAATATTAGCAGTCCTGTTTCCACAGACCAACTCTAATGAGACCATTAAAGCAGTGGTCTGCTTTTTTAGGCATCATGAAATGTGATGGAACTGGGGTGGGTGACTAGAAAGGTGGGGCGAAGTTTTCATTGTCTTCCAGGTACTGCTAAAATCCTGATGTCCCAAGGGTGGAAATAGTATGTGCAGAGGGAAGTGTTCTTTTGGATAGATCTGGCTGCCTTGAAAGGTGTGGCACACTGGTGGACTTTGGCAGGAGGGACCTGAATGAGATTTGGAACAGGAAACTAGAAACTCAGAAGGCCAATTGTGTTTAAGGCTCATCCTGAGGGAGAAGCAAACTCTGATCCCAACCCTCAGATGGAATTCTATAGTTTTTGGCATTATAGACTCTCTGAATTTTACTCTGTTTTTGAGACAGGGTTTCACCATTTCAGAACTGCTTTGAATTCGCTAGGAAGTCCAGGCTGGCCCTGACTTCAGGGCCTATGTAGTCCACCCTGGCCTGGAACTCAGCAATATTCCTGTCTCAGTCTCCCCAGTGCCGGGATTACAGGCTTGTACTACCATGCCTGGCTCTGACTCTGAATTTTAGACTTAAGAAGAACCTTAAGGGATAATTTATTTGCATCTTCTCTTTTACAGCTGAGAAATCTATTTTCCAGTGACACAACATCACAAAACCAGGAAGTGGCAAAGCCCATCCAAAAGCGAGGCTTCCTGTTTCTGGGTTTGGGGTTTCTTCAATGTACCAGTTTCCACAGAGGCAAAAAATTGTTCGGTCTCACACAGCAGCTTCTCTTGCCTTCTGGAGTATGGTCTTTGTTTTTTTCTATATGCTACATCTGGAAGTATTAGAATATTTCGAGTTTATATAACTGGAAAATATTTTACTTTTAGTTTTCTTTTTGGATTTTTAGGAAGGATCTATAGGGTGTTCAGGATCTCACTACTAGATCAGACTTGCAGTGATTCGCCTGTTTGCAGCCTCCCAAGAGCTGGGATTACAGGCACGCACCAACACACCCAGTCTCAATCACGGCCCCAGCATGTCGCTGGGGCGGGGCTGGCACGGCAGGCCTGGGACTGAAGCCCCTGCGCTATTTGGCCAGCCCTTTTTAGTTTTCAAAGGTATGTTTGCTAAGTATAAAATTCAATGAGGACAGATCTTTTTCTTTTTTTCAGTCTTTTGAATAAATAAGTTTAGTTTCTTACCCATTTGCTTTTTTTTCTAATGTGGAATAAGATGCCATTTAATTTTGTTCTACTACAGCTATTATTTTTTTTATGTATATGCTTTAATGACTTTTGTCTTTACAATTAGTTTCAGAAAACTTCATTTTTGTGTATCTTGGTATGATTTTATTCATATTTCTTATGTAAGAGGTTCATTTTTCTTGGAAATGTGGTACTATAATTTTGACTAAATTCAGAAATTTTAAATCTTTAAATATTTATTGCTTATCCCCCTTCTGCTTTGAGAATTCTAATGATAAGAATATAAGTTTCTTGATTTTGGCACAGAGTGAACTATTACATGACTGATCTGTAAATGCTTTCTTCATTTTTATTTTAGATAATTTTTATTGTTATATTCATTTAAGTTTGTAAAAATTTTTTTTACAATGTGTAATCTATTATTAATCTCTTGTTATGTATTCATTTCAGAATATTTCTCTAAAATTCACTCTGTCTTCATCTTATATCATTCACATTTCAATATTTGTCTACAAGTTTTGATTTGCTACATAATTCTTACCGATTTTTCAATAAAGTTAATAATAAATTAAAAATAAAAAAAATTTTAAAAGCATAAAAAAAACCTGTCAGGTCTCTCTCTTTCAAAAAAGAAAAGAAAAGAAAAAAGAAAACCCATATCTGTTTAAAGAAGGCAGTGTTTAAAACAAAAGGACTATTTTTCTGGCAGAAAACAGCCAGACTTCCCTACTTTCCAGGAAGCTGAGGCAAATCAGAGGAGTTCTGGGTGATACTTCTGTAGCTTGTCAAAATCCTACTTACAATGTGCATATTGTTGACCTCTTATTTTCCATGTGGGCAATCAACTGGATATTGCTAGCCACCTATTTATTTTTATTACTACTTTGGGGAACCAGGATGGAATTCTGATATTTTTGTAAATATCACAACATATTATAAACTAGAAAGTATAAAGATTTTATCCTATTTAATTATTCTAATATAATTTTGGGAGCTGAAAGTGTGAAAATAAGTGCAGACACAAGTAAAGATAATGCTATAGAAATTTCAGAAGCATAAATCAGTTAACAAACCTTAGCACATTCTAACATTTTGAAAAGTTTCCTTACTGTCTTACAACATAATTGTTCATTTTAATTACACTAAGAACTGAATAAAAAAAAAAATCCTTCTCATCAGTCTCGGATTTATTTTTGCTTATTCTGCCACTATGTTAATAGAAATGAGCTGCTATGTCATCAAACTTACTTCCTTCAGAGACTCAAGCTCACTGTCCCCAGCACTGGGCTCAGTTCAGGCCCTCATCCTCAGCCAGCATGGCTCTTCCAGCACTGCAGCTGTGAGGCAGATGTTCTTTTTCATTCAGGATGGGAGCTAGTCCTCAGGACCACTACTCTGCTGGTGAAGGTTTAGTGATGCTGCTAGCAGACTGTACCGGAGCCTCTGAGCACCTGGGCCACAGGCACAACTAACCTAGCAGTGTGTTAGGATCTGCGACTTTGTAGGATTTCTGCTCACTGAGTACTATGGAAGCACTGGCCCTTCCATCTATAGCTTTACAGCAAAATAAGGGAACTTCTTTTTATCTGTATTTAGGGTTAACATTTTGTTTGCCCTAGTTTTTAAAAAAATTTATCCTATTTGTTAATTTATCAAATGTAGACAAATAATCATGCATAGATTTCTTACCTCCTTTCCAGAATGCAGATTGGAGACAGATAATTGTGGTTTGTAAAATATGTGATACGGTGTATTATTGATTATTGTAGTCTTATCTTCAATCTGAATAATCTGTATGCCTTGCTGTACCATCGAAGAAATGCAGAACTGACACAGCTGAAAGATAATTGAGGAGAGAACAATTTTTACCTTAAGGCCCATGCAGACCACATGACTATTCTTAATATGGCCTTTTATCTATTGGTTGCCCAGGACAGCAGTAATTTTATATTTCTTCAGGGTACTTAACAGCATTCCCTTTCAGTCTCAAAAAAGCCTGAACAATGTCAGGGAACAGTATTTATTCTCTAACAGGGTACTTTCGCCAGTCAGTTACTCTTGTTGCTATTGTGTAGTGACTAACAAGACTTGTTTTTAGGTTATCTCCTAAGTTACCTCACAGAGTATTTATTTATAAAGCACTTATATGTAAAGTAATAGCACGCATCTTACCCAGCAGCCTTCGACCCAGTATCCCTCCTCCTCATGCTCATCATAGCAGTGATCTCACAGAATGCCTGCTATGGGTCAGGAGAGCTGAGCACTTTGTTAATGATGATGATGATGAAAACAATAATAATGGACTCATATACTATTATATTATGCTTTTCCCATCAGCTTTAAATTCTTTGTACATTTTAACTTACAGGCACTCTATACTGCAACATTTTTTCCCAGCTTTTGATGGTAGTTCTCAACTTACAACTATGCAACTCTGAGTGACTCATGCTCACAGTTCTTCTTAAAGTTACTACGTAAGGTAGTTACTATTTTCCCTATTTTAGAGTGAAGAGCAAAGAGGTGAGGCAACCTGCCTGAGGTGGAGCTGGAACCCTGTGGTGACTCTGGGGTGCTGTTTCTTCCCCTTTCACTCATCATCTCACTGCCTTCCCACACTACATGAAGAACCAATGCTCACAGATGTGACCTCACTAACAAGGCACCCATGTAATAGGTGGCAATCTCAGAGCAGCAGTTCTCAAAGAGCAGTTGGAAGATTCATGGAAAATATCTGAGCAAGGGGTCCTCAGTTGAAAATTTTTTATTTTTTTGAGACAGGGTGTTGCTGTGTAGCTCAGGCTAGCTTTGCCCTCACTATGCAACCTGGGCTGGTCTTGAACTGGTGACAATCTTCCTGCTCAAGCCTTCCAAGTGCTGGCATTATAGGTGTGTGTCAACATGCCTGTCCTGAAAGCTGTTTTTATAAAAATACTCAAGTGCTGTTCATCTTTTCACTCTAATTTCTTCATAAGTGTAGAGTTTTTTTTTTTCCGCAGAAGTTATGACATATGATGTGATCTCTCTGATAGCCGATAGAATGTTTTAAATATTTCTAATCTGTTTTTAATTTTTCTTATCTGATAAAAGTGATATTACTCATAGAAACAAAAGGTCTCTGTGTTTTTCCATAGTTTTTTTTTGTTTTGTTTTAAAAAAGGTTTTTTTTAATTTTAATTTTAATTTTTTTTATTTTTTTGCGGAACCGGGGATTGAACTCAGGTCCTTGCGCTTGCCAGGGAAGCGCTTATTCCACTGAGCCATCTCCCCAGCCCCATTTCCATAGTTTTTAAGAGCATCAAATAAGTTGAGAATAAAAAGTATGAGAGCTACTAATAAAGAATAATGGGACATCAATATATTTTCCAATAGCTCATTCATTTATTCATAAACATCCATTCAGCACTTACTGTGACCACTTTGTGAGGAGCTAGAGGTAATGGGCGCCTAACTGTATACTGCAACATTTTTTCCCAGCTTTTGATGGTAGTTCTCAACTTACAACTATGCAACTCTGAGTGACTCATGCTTACAGTTCTTTGCCATTCACACCCGTGTTACAGTTCTCTGGCCAGTAAAGCATCAACATGTGTTGCCCAGACAACTCTGAGGAAATGGATACCAGTCTGAATTCTGAAAAAAGACCAACTTATTGCTTAAGAATAAGAAAAGCTTTTTTTTTTTTTTTTTTTAAAGTGAACAAATGATCCTAACTTTCTCGAAAGGTTCTTCAAAGGTGCATATCAAACAGTTCTAACTTTTTCACAGGGAAAGGTCATCTGAATTATACAACTCTGCTAAAGCATTCCTTCTTTTCTCATTTAGTAAAGTTAAAATAATGAAGGTATTGCAAGAATAGCATGAGTCTTCCACATGGCATGCTGATATTGTACATTCAAGTGCTCATTACTGTATTATTCAGTTAAATGGTTTTCATAAGCTTTAGATTTATACTGAAACATGCACACCATTTGCATTAAACAATGGATTCAGCATGTTTTCTTTGTAAGCAAGTTTCTAAAAACATGATCACTTCCCTTTTTTTTTTTTTTGTTCCTCGAATGCCTTCAGGGCACTTTTGGCCAGCGGGAGAGTTGTGAGGTTCGAACTCCAGCAACCTGAGGCTGACAGCTTTGTGGAAGCAGCCACTTAA